GCTTTCATCCGCTCCACCTGTCAGCATCTGTTCGACTGAAGTTCCCGGCCAGGCACCCACCTCCCACGGACCTTTGGCTCAAGCCGGTCGAGGTCTCGGCTTTTCTCCCTCTCCCAACTGCTCCCAGTTTGGATTCCGGATCCATCAATCGGCTACGACACACAGACACACTGTTTTCACACCGGGTGCAGGTGGCTGGGGAAAGAGAGAGTGCGGTAGATGCCGCGTAAGTCTACAATGACTTCAAACTAATTCACGCGGAAGTCACCGTCCCTGCACTACCCTACTGTGGCGCATAACGTGTACATAATCGAAATCGATGGTCGAACTCTCACGTGGACTTTCTATCCAAAACCCTCTCCTTTCTCCGCAATGATCCCATCTGCCGTTTCAGAGAAGACAACTTCCATTACCTAGATAGAATCTTCCGCTTTTTTATTCCTAACAGTAGTCTTCAGCATTACCCTCCTTGTGAAGTTTACCAAATAAAAGAAAAATTATACTGAGTTGGTGAAATCCATGGCAGTCTGAAACGATTGTTGTGTTTTCGCCTGCCTTGCCAGTGGCAATTCAGAACGACACACATACAGGGTGTTCCAAAAAAATGTACACACATTTTAAGTAATTGTAAACTTTGTGTTTGTTATAATTTTGTTATTTAAAAAAAACGTTTGAATATTTAAAAGCATCATTTTATTGCTTTTTCACTGCATTTTGACTATTGCACCAGTGGCTGAATTGAGAGAAGCTATCGAACATGAATGCACCCGAGTACCAAGGGAATTGTTCCATGATACGTACGATTCCACTGCTTTGTGTTGTCAGCAGTTTCATGATCAAAATGGACGTCAGTTTGAGAATATACAGTGATAAAAAAAATAAAATGGTACTTGTAAATATCTTTACATTTATTTTATAATAAAATTATGATAATCACCAATTTTGCAAATTGGTAAAATGTGTATACATTTTTTGGGACACCCTGTATTATGTCGAAACTATTATTACTGTTGAACAGACAGGTTCATTCGCAGTCTCCATCCATTTTCATGCCGTTGACTGACCGTATTTGACGCATCGACGGGCGACCGAGCGAAAATTGTGCAGGGTTTAACGCTGTGACTTCAAAGGTAAAAATGGAAGAAGTGGGTTGCAAATCCTGTATACTACAATCTGTGAAGCATGCCTCATTTGGTAGAGAGAGAGACAGAGCATGAACAAACCCCGTTGATAGGAGAAAACGAGCGGAGACTCTGGCTTGTGATGCAATTGTTTCTTTGTAATACTGGGAAAAATTACAGGAGAGCAACAAAGGAGTCGAGGGTAACAAACGGATCAACAGACTGACGTGCAAAGTGCATTAGGAACGTAGTCGGCTGGATACATTGTCAGTGCAAAACTAAAGTGTCAGGATACGTAGAATTTGCCCGTCGGTACTGTAGTCTCATTTGGGCGATATTTTCTATCGCACCACATGTTTACAGATCTCAGTTGCTGTTTCGACTGAGTCGATTTTCCGTGTACTGACTAATTGCGAACCGTTATGTGCAAAACCCTGTTTCAAATTCACTGATTTGCTTTGCGGCATTTGCTTTTCCCTCTCTCTTTTCAGGAAGATTTTTCTGAGCTCTTTCCGGCAGAATCTATTGTCTACCTTTGCGCTGAAGCGGCCGATGAGTTGCCCGACCAGTTTCTCCCTCCGACTAGTGATGGCGAGGCTGGGCCAAAATTTACCTCCGAGGATGTCTACGTCATTGGCGGTTTGGTAGACCATAACTCTCAAGTAGGATTTTGTCACCGCCAGGTATGTTTTGTTTAATCCATGTCTACTTATATGTATGATAGTAGATGTTTTTGTTACGCTAAAATAAATGTTTCTAT